TCACCATTGGGTTTTATTGGTGAATTTTTGTTGTTCCATTGCTTTACACAGCTGTATGAAAAGTCACCTTTTATTATGAGAAATATCACTTAAGGACTGTTTCAGAAAAACTTTAGCTCAGCCCTCCTGTCTGGTGCCATTGTCTCACCTCTCTGGTAGAACCCTGACTCATTATATCCCACAGTGACCTTACATTGAACCTTAAAGGATGTAAGTCACCTGTCTTGGAAGAGCCTTGATTCAAGCCTGAAATGCTCCATACAAGCCAGCTGTTATCTTCTCCTCAGGTTCATACTCACTGTGAATGAGCCCACAGCCTCTCTCAGCTCCTGCAGCTCCTTCTCTCTCATCTGGATTCTCTGCTGAAATTCCTTCTGTGTTTCTCTCATTTGTTTCTACAGACAGGAAACAAGATGACAAAACAAGTTTGTTTCATTAGCTGAGATCATATTCATTAATCATCCACTCCAGGGTGGACCCCAGCCTTGGGCCCTATGCTGCCTGGGAAAGGATCCAGGTCCCCATGACCCTGACTGGGATAAACGATTAGGAAATGGATGGATGGATGGATGGATGGATAGATGGATGGATGGATGGATGGATGGATGGAGGGAGATATTCATAAATGTTTTATTGACTGTAGGTAGGATAAACTTGGTGAAGTCAAACGCAATAGCAGAACAGGTCAACTTTAATTAGTGTGAAGAGAAACAAACATAGTCCAAATATGATCCAAATTTGGCAACAACAATCAACTATGCACACACACACACACACACAGACCTGTACTCATATATTTGTGGAGATTGTCCATAAATGTCTATGTGCAAAACCATATTCCCAACAGTGACAACCTTAACCCCTACCCAGCCCTAACCTTAACCACAAGTAACCAAACAAAATACTGTCAAAACTCTTTTGACAGTCCCCACACCCTCAAAATAACAGGTTTTTATCGTAACGTATACCTGGACCACACACACACACACACACACACACACACACACACGCACACACACACACACACCTTTCCCGATAAGAAAAAAGAAGCTTCCTGTGTATGAGGCAGCCAGACCAAACCAAGCCGGACTCCGCCCTCAGCCATGGCAAAGTGATGTGATTGGCTAATGAATGAGTATAATCCAGACCCCAGACCCTGGGGCTGCTGAAATAACTGCATGTTAAAGTAAATCACAATTTTCCTTTTTAAATAAATAAATGATTATGCAAGTAACACCGCAAACTCTATGTTAAACAGTAATTTTAATGTGTGCAGTCATGCTGCTCCTTTAGTCACGGAAGAGCGGTCAGTGATATTACTGTTTTATCCAATTATTTGCCAGCATTATGTTTTTAATTCATTAAAAACAGCTAAATTTAAATGCATGATGGAAATCTGGATATTTTAAGGCATAACACTGCACGCCGTACGGGGGCACAATGAAAAGGTGCAGGCATGTTTTATGTTGTAAGGAAATACAGCTTGACTTGGAACGATATGTCAGAAACGTTGTGGGACATACTATCACGCCCCCCTCGTAAACTCACCGGCTGATTAGCAGCGATCTGATGCACCTGGAGATAACTGCATTTAAGACCTTGCCCCACATCACTTCACTGCATGTTTGAGATATTAATATTGCCTGGTGTCAGGCTTCTCCGCCTCCAGTTTCCATCTAGGTGCACAGTTGCACATACTGATGTGCTAATGGTTTGGGGAGAGTTGTACACTTTCAACAAAATTTCAACAAAACCTTAAAGACTCTTATTGTTCATGAGTCGCTATTAATGAGTCGAAGTCAAGTCCGAGTTAAAAAACAGGTTGAGTCAGAAATAGAGTCATTTGTCAATTTAAGAGAGATTCGAGTCCGAGTCACAAACTTGAGTTCCTAGCTCTGGCAAGTATGACAAGAAAGCATACCGAGAGGAGGTACAGTGGCTAACAGACTGATGCAGAGCCAACAATCTGTCTCTGAATGTGGACAAAACAAAAGAGATGGTTGTTGACTTCAGAAGAACTAGGAGCAACCACTCTCCAACATCAAAGATTCATCTGTAGAGATTGTTAAGAGCACCAAATTCCTTGGTGTTCACCCAGCAGAGATCCTCACCTGGTCCCTCTACACCAGCTCCATAGCCAAGAAAGCCCAGCAGCATCTCTACTTCCTTCAAAGGCTGAGGAAAGCCCATCTCCCAGCACCCATCCTCACAATGTTCTGCAGAGGGACTATTGAGAGCAGCCTGAGCAGCTGCATTACTGTTTGGTTTAGGAATTGCAGTGTCACAGGTCACAAGACCCTACATTGGATACTGAGGACAGCTGAGAAGATCACTGGAGTCTCTCTTGCCTCCATCGCACATATTTACACCACACTGCATCCATGATGTGACCAGCATTGTGAATGACCCCACACACCCCTCACACAAACTCTTTACCTTCCTGCCATCTGGAAAAAAGTACCAAAGCATTCAAGCCTTCACAGCCAAACTGTAGAACAGTTTCATCCCTCAAGCCATCAGACTCCTTAACACTCAGAAACTGGACTGATAATAATAATATCATTTACATTTATATCTAACATTTTACTAATACGTTGTTACTTTTCATTTCTTCCATTGTCATGTTTACACTTGTTTTTATTAATGTGCCGCATCATCTCTGCACAACCTGCTACATTTTGTACCTGTAAATATCAGAACTGTGCACTGGTCAGCACTGCATTGTCTTCGTTTGTGCCACTGTCTTGTCTTATTGCAGTGTCCTGCGATGTCTGTACATGTTTGCACACACATGCATTTTATGTNAACAGTTTCATCCCTCAAGCCATCAGACTCCTTAACACTCAGAAACTGGACTGATAATAATAATATCATTTACATTTATATCTAACATTTTACTAATACGTTGTTACTTTTCATTTCTTCCATTGTCATGTTTACACTTGTTTTTATTAATGTGCCGCATCATCTCTGCACAACCTGCTACATTTTGTACCTGTAAATATCAGAACTGTGCACTGGTCAGCACTGCATTGTCTTCGTTTGTGCCACTGTCTTGTCTTATTGCAGTGTCCTGCGATGTCTGTACATGTTTGCACACACATGCATTTTATGTAATTCTTTGTAGCTTTGCAGTCCTGTGTTGTTTTATGTAGCACCATGGTCTTGGAGGAACGTTGTTTTGTTTCACTGTGTACTGTACCAACGGTACATGGTTGAAATGACAATAAAAAACCACATGACTTGACTGGACTGTTAAATGGACTGTTAAATGATCTTCATGTTGATGTAAAAATATGACAATGTTTGATGAAGTGCGTCAGCTTAACCATTACAAAACCTCTCCTAAGGACACCACAATATGTGCAGCAACCATCCAACACACACATGTGTTTTTGCCCCAACCACTACCCACCTCATTTAGCTAATCAATACTTCATTTAGTTATTTAACCAATTCATTCAATCATTCAACCAACCAATCAATCAATCAATCAATCAGGCAGTCAATTAACTGAACTGGTGGTGAAATTTAACGAATGCGTGGAATGGCTACACTGCCCCTGAAGAGGGGTTTGGGAACAAAAGCAGTCACCAAACAAAGTATCAGTAACTATTTGCAAAACATAAGAAATTCTTGTTAAGTTTTATTGTTACTGTTAATTCACATATATATTTTAATGTTAAATTGTGTTTTTTTTCTGAGCAGATAACTACCCAGTAAGTAGCTTTAAACATTTTCTTTGACTCTTGAGATTTATGCACAATACTGTACTCAGAAACATGAACACAGAAAATATTTTCAGGTA